CTTTACAGGAAAGATGCGCCTCCACAGCAGTGTCGCTTCTGTTGTTTGTAGCTGCACCACTCAGTGGAAGGGCTGTGGCGGAGACTGAAGTGTTCACCTGACCAAACCAAAAGACAAGAAAAAAAAATGAACGCCTAATTAAAGACTTCAATCCACAACCACGAGATTTTAATGCGCCTCGTCATTTTGGCATTATTTCAGCAGTTCATATTTTTTGCTACTACTTTTGGCCACTCTCAAGAGGGACAAAAAAATGGCTGTTTGTTACGTGGATAAAATTAATGTTGATTACACTTGTGGTAAGCCGAGTGCAGATTTACTCGGTATTTTGGCAAATGTCATGCCCTTTGCTGGTTGTGTGGCAGGAGGAGGAGGAGGAGGCTTCCTCCAAATTTTCTCCATCCGTACAACTAGCACAAAGTAAACCACTCGTTTGTCTCACTTACATCCTTGTAAAATTAACCAATGAAAGTGAATAGCACACCTTCAGAGCATGCTCGGGAGACAAAGCTCATTCCTCTCCACCTCCTATCCCGTTGAACGTGGATCCTTCTCCAAAAGGTGGTATCTGAACTTAACCAATTGCAGACAGTTTGGCTGGAGACCAGCTTGAAGGCTTCTGGCAGTATCACGCACGACACTGCTGACTTCCCTCGTCTGTAGGGCGGTCTTGGAGGCCACCTCGATGTGTAAAAACCGGGAGGGCGAGGCGCCAAACGCCACCAATTTAATGCATTCAATGGTGTTTTTTTTTTCTCCTAACGACGGCACGAAGTGTCTGTTTGGGCAAAACTTGGTTAAAACAACTGATCTAAGCACAGTCGCGTTAAGCGGTGACATTATTGCCTTGCTTCTTGCCATAAGCACAGGTAGTTTAACTACAAAGTACAATTTATTGCTCCTTTTAAGCCAAGTTATTGTTTGCCTCGATTTTAGCTCTTCGAGTGAAACAAGCTTACATTTGAAGGGGGAAAAAAAGGAGATGTCATAGCCTCAATCACCACTCCTTTGACTACCCAGTAGTGAAAAAAGGGAAAAAAAGGTTTTGTCAAGCATAATTGCGTAGTTTGCGGCGAGTGCCTCGCCTGGGCAACTTTAAGAGGGGCTGTTTATCCATCACAGACGTGATAGGCGTTGTGGGTTTTTTTGTCGACATTTTGCATGATTGTGCTCACCATCTCCTGCCATTTTCGAGTGTATGGCATTAATTTTTCATTTATGCATAAACAAGGACCCCGAATGACTCAAGCAACCCATTAGCGATGGTAACGAAAGGGGTGAGAGGACCATCACCGGTGCCTTTGAGACCGTACGGCACACTCATGCGTCCGGAGGACGCGAATCTGTGAACAAGCTTTGGTGGGCAGGAGCATTTAAACCGCAAAATACCCTCCCAAAGCATTTTTATAAGTCTCTACAGAACTTCTCCTTAACGGAAAGTACTTTGTTTGGATTTTGAGCGCTACATGGAGTTTCATGCCAAAAACTAGCACTTTCACTTAGTGGTGAAAGCCTCAAAGAGTACAAAATGAGTGATTCCATTGTTGCAGTTATAAAAATCTGACCTGGACGGCCTACTACACCTAGTAAAGCATTTATCAATGTCAAAATAAAGAGAGCGGTCGCTGAAACCCCAAATAAGTAGCAAGTAAAAGAACAAAAAGTTTTAAGGCAAAATAAAATTGAACTCATACGTACAGTTATTTTAATGAGGCAATAGTTAACATTTTTGTTTTATTTTTTTCGTCTTACAAACAAAATCCCTTAAGTGCAAAAGTCGCCTTATTAATTTAATGCGCCGGCGCCAAAACGCACCTGAGTAGGAGGAAGTAAAGTTTTTTCCCCCTTGTTGCATTTTTTTTTCTCCCACTTCCTTATTAGCTCTCCTTGGCTCATAACAAAGTAAAATTTTTATAACAAAAATTCAAATCAAGAGGGAAAGTGGAGGAATTAAGTATTTAGGCGATGATTATGGCAACTTTGAAACGCCACGCCTCTTGACGCATGTAAGTAGTTCACAAATTCAACACAAAATCCTTTTTCACTGCATTGGAATTCTGCGTATATGAAAAAATTTTCCCTTTTACCACATTGTCTGTCACTTTTTGCCGTGCCCACTTCGCTCTTCCCCAGAGCCATTCTTCCGTGTCAGCTGTCACAATGCTGGTCGGTGTTTTGAAGCAAACCCAAGAACACCATTCATTCGTTTGCCTATCACAATGGAAAGACGCCTGAATTTAGTCCTGAGAAGACAAGAAAAGTGAAGGTCTGTCGATCTCCTCCACGGAGATGATGGACAGCACTAAACGTGATCTTAAGCCCAGTATTTGCATCACACTCCCAATGGGCATTCAATTTTAGTCGCTGGGGAGGACACAATTCACCCTGTCCTCCATTAAACCCTCTAAAAAGCTTTTTAACGTTTTTTCAGGCATCATTGTTGACTCAAAATACTGACAAACAGCAGCACGACGTTCAGTCGATTAGAAAAATTAGCAAATAATGTGGAGCTTCTTTCACCCACAGCAAACGTCTTGCTTCACCACATTTGGCTCTACGCCTCCATTTACGATCGCAGATCTGCTACCTTTTGGGTCGAAAAGAACTTCCCATATGTTTTAGTTAGAGTTAATAAAAAGAACTTTACAAAAAAAGAAATGGTCAGGTAACACTGTTTACCCCCAATGTTATGACAAGTTGGCAGCTACTGCACACATTTCCCGAGACAAAATCTGACAAGTCCGAAAATTTGCATTGTTGGCCCCACAAATATACTTTCAAGTATAAAATTGTAATCAATTGGCCAAATACGGTACATACATATTGTAAATAATCGTGTTCATAAAAGATTACATTAAACGTCTTAAAGCAGGTGCACGTTGATTGTAAATAGTTGGATTTTGCGAAATTTTAAACGACCCCGACGCAAATTTTGAGAAGGGACAGAACATGTTCTGGGCAGTTTTCCTTTTGAAGTAAGCACAGTAAACATCATGGACTTTTTTATCATAAAAAGGTGCGCCACCTCTTCTTTCCTTGCAGCAATACGTGAGCCATGCGCTGATTGGCTAGTGGTTAGTCTGCTCCGCATTTCTGATTGGCTGATTGTGTAGTTGGACACAAATGCCACATCTAAGCCAACTAAACTAACTTGCATCCTTTTTCCACAAACAACAACTCGGATCTGCTAATTTATTGGTAAATATACATGTGTTACTTATTTTTGATCAAATACTGCATGATTATCCATCAGTAGATCTAAAAGTTACATTTTATTTAATGAAAATTTTACCCACATTTTGAAAAATCGGCTTCGTTGCACCTCTCATGCGACTCAGAATTTAGGTTTATTAATGTAACCATTTTCTCTGTAAGGCTGTTTTTTGTGTTTGTGTAATTATGAGAGGCGCGGATTTAAAAGAAGAGGTGGGAAAGGACGTGGAAAGGTCCACCTCCCCCCTCCCCCCTCCCCCCGAAAACGTTCCCCATTCATTTAGTCAGCACGTCAGTGACATATGCAAGAGCTGGAATGCCACCAGAAGAGCCTGGAACCCATTCATTGAAGCAGAAGTACATTCCGTTGGCAATGAAATGCCAGTGTAGTAAAGCATGCAGTGAAAGAGAAGGCCAAATCACCACAATTATGGGCAAATTTTGAAGTTGACAACCAATTCAACAGGCCTGCATAAGATTACTACTTTACTGCTTAAAATAGCGGCAAAAAAAATATTTTAAACTCCGATTATGAGGTATTAATGCAGTTGGACACAGGGTATACATTGATAAGTGAGTCAAAAATGATGTCTAGACGGCTGCATTGTTGACATGCCTCCAGACAGGATTAAAGGGCGGTGCGCCTTTGCTTTGGAAAGTACAAGTTCCAAGTAGAACGAAGCACAAATTAAACTGTTCAATTTAAAATCGCTACAACTGCTTTCCGGTTTTAAATCACACTTGGTTATGGGAAAAGTTACCATCCTTGGGAGGTAGAAAGGAAGGAAAAGTGAGAGAGAATGTGATGAGGTCGGTCACTACGAGGTGTGCGGAAATTTGGACGCTTTTGTGTGGTAGTAAAGGAGAGCCGAAAAAGGGGATTGGGGGGAGCCACACCGACTCCACTTCCCCAATCTCTTGACTTTCTTCGGCTGACTTGTTTAGAGGGGAAAGAAGTTGGGCGTTTTTGAGAATCTTCAGTTCTCCTTCTTTGGATTTTCCTAATTTAATCTCCATTTTCTTAGTATTTTTTTTAAGGCAGTGATTACAAGCTAGCAGAGACGATGGCTGTGGACAGAGCGTCGTCTCACACGCATGAAATGTCGGGTAGACGGAAAGCTAAAAAAAAACAGTTGAGAGCAATCAAGACAAAATTTTCACATTTGCTATTATTTAAGTGGAAGGCAAAAATTTTCGCCTTTAAATGAACTACGCTGAGCATCACAAGCATTAAGGGTAAGGTGATTTTTGGAGAAAAAAGTAGCCTTTCTTTCTCACTCCATTCTCTTTCCCTCTCTCGCTGCCGCCTCTCAACTCTTCGTCGGGTAAAGGCCTAAGTGCCTCCGGTGGGAGGAGCTAAGATGTTTAATTTCCTTCTTCCTTTTGACACTATAAGGGAAGAAGTGGTTTGATTACTAAAAGAATTGAAATTGCACTGAGCTAAAGATCCTATTCTTTCCACTGTCTAATTAATTTCCTCGCTTTCACTTGAAGTCAGCTTAAAGTTGAGGAAAAATTGGGCTGCACAAACAATGCGATTGCGAGCCCTCCTTCCAAAGCATCAGAGACCACCCATATATAAAATAAAACTTTTCCTTAAAGTTGTGAATGTCTTTAGACGAACTAACAAGTGTTATGGGAAATAATTTCCCCATTGTAATCGTAGATGGAGCTCTCGAGAAGGTCGTGATTATTTTAGTAGCTTTTTAGAAATTTCAACTAGCAATTAATTAGGTTATTAGGGGTTGAGGCAGTTGCGATTGCTCTATCAGTCTCTACAGTAGATAATGGGTTTTGGTAAAAAGAGAAAGGAGGATGAGGCAGGATGCAGTCAGCCCTCCGCGGAACAGCTGTTCCAATCAGGTAGGGAAATGTGGTACCTGGAATACATCATTTCACTCTTGCAAGCTACAACTGAGTGATTCAGCCCTGATTTTCATCCAGAACACGTTGATAATCTAGATGTGCTCTTAACAAATAACGAATGAGGTCATTTTATTTTTTCAAAGACGATCTACTACTATGTGTGCATAAATATTTATATATGGCACGATATCCGGAAGTCATTGGCAAATCTCCCATTCCCATTGGTGGTTTTGATGACCAGTGAAATGTCTCCAACTCCACTAATTCGTACATTGATTGGTTATCGATTTTATTTCCTATGATTTAAATAATCTTGCCTTTTTTATGCTTAATGGCTTAAATTTTGCAAGATTTATTGAACAAGTCGACAGTGAAAAGTCGGTCACGAGTTGCGGCCTACTTCGACAAAATGGTGATCATTAAGTAACCATCCGTTGGGCCAAATTCGTCCGCGAATTTGGGCGTGATTCATACGTTGACTGGTGAGACAGTGATTCAGCAAACAACCCTCAAGAATGGTTGTTAGCTATGCTGGAAATCCTGCAAGCTTAATTGTCTAAAGCTCCTTTTTTTGAAATTTATTGGTAGATGTTACTAATCTCACATGTGTTAGGACGCCTTCTCTTAAGCACTTCTTTGAATTGCACTTAATCGGGTGCTGGTTTTTCTTCACTTCTAATCTCTAAGAGATCCACTGACGGCACATTATGATTACCTCAAAAAATGTCACGAGGCGCATAAAGTCGGAGGCAAAATTACAGGCCATTAATCCCATTTATCGAAAAGCCCTATGATTGAATTACTTATGCGAAAATTCATGAAATTAATGCACCGGGATAGTTTTATTTTTAGTGCTAATTAAAATGGCATCTTTGTAAGCTATTGTGTGGGTTAAAAAGATAAAAATTTCCGCGTTCCCCTTTTTGCTATGGTCTTAGGTTTCCGACTTACCATGGAGAAGTCAAAACCAACCTTGGGTAAACTGATCCAAAAGAAGATAAGGGGAAGAGGAATCTTTTCAAAAAATGGTAATTTCATTTTGCTTTTGTAAATAATTTTTGTTGCGGCCAACATAACCTGAAATTTGGAGCCATATCAATAGGTGAAGCATCGCTACTTATTAATTATTTAAGTAACTCATGGATTGTGTTTTAATGTGTCGTTTCCTGTTCTCTCGATGTTGTAGACAAATCCCCACAGGAGACGGTTGAAAACATTTTAAAAGGAAAGACTGATGGGGCTGAAGAACAGGTGAGAGGATTTAAAGGACTGGTTTGGAATAGCATTTGGCGAAATTTATGTTTGCTCCACCTCCTCCTACCCTTTAATATAATGTTTAGCCAATGGAGGGTTTGGATCAAAACAACGCAAACGGTGAAAAAAGCAACAACTCTTACACCACTTCACCTCGCTACTCAAAGCCAGGGACATTGAAACCGGCTCCCATCAATGGACAGGAGTACTGGCACCCAATTTTCGTGGGAAGTAAGTCTTTCATGTAATCATGAAAAAAGTGTTCAGAGTTGCTTGCAAATATTTCACCATCCTGTTTTGTTCTTTTTTTTGTCCCTTTATTTTTGCGTTAAGGAAAAGTTAGGATTGTAAAACATTCGCTTTAGGGTGCGCGGGGTGAAGGGGGGAGGGCGTGGCGGGAGGAGGTGGATTAAAATATGCCATGGAAATAATTGAGTCTCGAAGAAAATTAATCCAACTTCTTGCATTATTATTTACGTAGTGGATGAGCAGATGTTTTATAAATGGGCAGAACGGATGCCAGGAAGGAGGGAAAGGTGGGACAGGAGGCAAAGCGGGTGGAGGTGGTGGGCCGGGTTAGGGGGAGGGGAGGGCGTGAGAGAGAGAGCGAGAGCGAGAGAGGATGCGATAAATAATAAAAGTCCTTTCTCTTTGCAGGCTATAATTAATGCCCCCCACGCATTCAGACAATCAAATCAACAGTTTTTCATTGTTTTGAAAGGAGAATTCTTTTGCGAAATGGAAAGGTAAAAAAAAATTATTTAGTGTTACTGACTGATATTTTAGCACAGGTTTTAGTGGACACACGAAGCTAAATGGTTGACTGCAGTCAGTCAATGTCTATCAAGTTGTACCTGCGATTTTCTCAGTTGTCAAGGCTTGAGCTCCAGTGAGTCCATAGCTGTCGTGAGTCCAAGCAGGAGCTAAAATTTCACATCACAATGCGAGGGTCTCTGCACAGGACGAGCTCATCTGGAAAGGAAGGGAGTAACTTTATGCTTCTTGACACGCAACTTCCTCGTGACATTGACTTAACATTTCGAAAAATCATTCAACCCCCTTAGACGTTCACAATCACCTGCGCCCAATTAATAATTCCTCCACCTTCAACAGCAATCAATCCGTAAAAAAAGGGACAGTTAAGAAGAAAATTGAAAAACCCTCAAAAGACGCACCATAGGTGTTGCGGAGCAAGGATAATTTACTCCTTCTACACTCTTCAAAGTCTCGAGTGGAGGTGAGAGGACGTCCTTTCTCCCTTCTGTCTCATAAAGTGATGCCGATTGGGTCAAGACGGCAAAAAGTGGCGCATTTTCTCATCCCCTTTTTTTTCCAATGCGACGCAATGCACTCGCCTGCCACAAGAAATACAATTGGGTACTATCCGAAACCCATTCATTCCAAAGCCATTTAATTTGATCACCATTAATTTGTTTATTCCTTTCCCAGGCATAAATAACTAAACAACCATCTCTACAAGCAAAGCAGACACAAATGCACGTAAAAAATTACACCCATTCTGCGCCCTCCGCAACAATTACATGGGCTTAGGGCATTGTGTAGACCTTTAAGTGAAGAGAAAGAACCAACTAATCTAAACAGAGGCGTGACTTTCCTTCCAAACGTAACCAAAAAATGGATATTCGAGTCACAGGTAATTGAAAGTGTTTGATTCGATTGGTCCGCGAAATTGGGAGCATTAGTAGTTACACGATGTTATCAGTTATTGCGCATTTAGGTAGCCATCATTTCGTGTTCCTCGTCTGGTCAAATGCCGACATCTTCAAATAACATGCCAGAAAAAAAATTGTTCCAATGTTTTATCTGGGATGTGCCAACGTGTCTTCGGGACGGATTTGGTTAAACCGCGTTCCTACTTTCCACGCCTCACAGAGTGAAACATACACGTAATTTTTTCAATTAAAACTCTCTCGAGTTCTCTCGGAATTTTTTATTTTAAATATTTTGATGCTTTACACTGTCCAATGCATCCACTGCTTGATCTCCAAAACGGTTAAATTGATTACCTGACATTGCAAATTGATTTACTACTTATTAAGTCTTGTTCGTAAATAAGTAGCTTTGTGTCAAGTTAAAATGTCAAGTTAAAATGGAGATGATAGATTGAATACGCTTTGAAGTTTGAGAGCTGTGGAATTTATGGACGTGAACTCATGTGCATATAATTGGAATTATTACTTTTAGGACAGAAGGCGTAGCGTGTCGCATGGCCGATGGCTCCGCATCGACCGCTACGCTTCCGCCACCTTGGGTGGAGTCGAACAAACTGTCGAATTATGTGTCCGAAAATGAAACTCATTTGACATACTGCAATGTGCGCATTTAAGTTATCTGATACAGTCAGTCCAAATCATCCCTTAGCATTATGTGATTCTCAAATTAAGGCAAAATGAACCCAAGTCGGTGTTGTCGGGGTAGCCAGCCTATCGGGCGTCAAAACAAGCCTCGCCGTGTATGATCTGGCAACAGAAGTGATATGAACAGCACCTCAAACCACACAAACAGTAGCCAAAACTGTGCAGATTAAGGAGTCCGCTTGGCTAAGGGCACCGGATAAACAAATACCTGCCTGACATGAAGCAGTGCAAAGGTCCTTTTCCTTTTTTTCAAGGCAGCACCAAACTTGCCTAAAAAAATACGATAAATTTTCCTCCATTCATCCAAAAAGGAAGCCCATCCCCAATAATAAGTCTAAATGCTTTATTTTTACTCCAATGACCCTCTCTACTTCCTCACCTCTGTTGCTACTGCCTTAAGCCGAAAAGTGCCTTTTAAGCTGTAGTATTAAGTGAGAATGGAATTGTTCATCTCCTCCCTCTCCCCGCTCACTTACCACCACCCCTTTTTCCTCAAACATTAAAAAGCCAGGATCCCACACTTCTAGGACGCATATCCACTCCAGAATCTGTGAACATGCACATGTCGCATAATCAGTTAGGATCAGGAAACGAGGGAATGTAGGGGCAATGTCTCATCCCTCCCACCTCTCCCCACCACCTCAACAACATTACCTCATGGCATTACTCTCAGGACTGACTACCACCTTCGCCTGACATTACACATTCCCACAATCACAAACAAGACAAGTGGATGGGAAATTAAATGGAAGAGATAAAAATAAATGGATTGTGATGAGAGGTGGATTGATTACTTGGGGATGATAAAAGACTGCCTGACGAAACTGCCTCCTTCCGCACACACACACGCCTTTTGTAAATACTTGTAGCTTTGGAAGTTTTTACATTTCACTCAGTGCAGTTGCTTGGTAGGGAACGTGAAAAACTACAATGCAAAAAAAACTATTTTTATTTTGCCGAAGGAGGTGAAGACGACTGCCTAGGTCAGGAAAGGGTGGAGGAAGGTGGGTTGTGGGATGAAGAAACGCATTAACTGCCAAATCATTCCCTTGTTTGGCTGAGTAAAGTAATCTGTGGGTGGATGAAGTTGATTAAATGGTACATCTGTATTCCTTGACTAGTCGGCTTGGAGAAGGTCGAGGTAGGTTCTCCTTGTGCTTAGGTGAGCCTTTAAGACCCCTATGACGAGTTTCAAGAGTGTCATTTTTTGTGAGCTTATGAAAAGGTTATTTTTTTCACTTTCTTGGATTGTTTCAGCACCAAGTGAACGCTCTTCCTCGGCTCCAGTATCTCCGGTTTCGGGGTATGACTCGCCAACGCCTCTGCTAGATCACTCCCGCCTGCCAGTTAACACTTCAGGTCACAGACAACCTCCCCCTGTTACCATCCATCGAGCAAATAGAAGTCGTGGAATGAGGTGGAAACCACCAGATATCTACAGGTAAAGTATTTTAACCACCTTTTCTTTTCACCAAATTTTGATTTCATCCATGGATAAAATTTTTGTCTCCTCCTTCCTCCTCCCCCTTGCAGACGAGTTCTCTCGCCTCATCAGTCAGAAATGAGTCTATCCGCTCCCAGTAGTCCTGGCAACGGTTCCAGTTGTTATGAGCAAGTTCCGATGGAGGGCTTTGAAGGCACTGAGGATGACGACACTGACTACGATCGACCCTATCGACGGCCATGGGCGTGCAACTTTGATGAAACCTTTCGTCGACATCGACGTTGGAGGCTCTCACATCATACGAATGGACATTACTCTCATCATCATCACCAGCAGTTACAGCAGCAGCAGCAACAGCAACAACATCATCATCCCCATCATAAACGTCCGTGGGAGACGCAAGACCTTCTGATGCTGCTAAAGAAACTCGGCCTTGAGGTGGGTTGAAAGGGGAGGGGCAAAAGGACTAAATAAATATCGGATGTAGCATTTTGATGGAAAGGGAAGAAGGTTTAAAAGTCCAATGCATGGCTAAACAAGACATCAATGACGCAGAACTGTTTTGATTCCATCGAAAGGCTATAAAATGGAACATCAGTGTGGTCGAGGGTTCGAGTGCCCATGCACAGACTCTCGGAGTTTGTTTGAGGAGACTTTGATAGTTGATTACTTTGCTTAACACCTCTCGTGTACCTTCAAGTGGTTCACGAGAAACTATGCGACCAAGGGAAGAAAGGCTCACACTGTTCTTTCTTATCCAATCCTCCGAGATCGGTCACTTGTGGTACATAGAGCCTCTCCTCGTGAAACACGAAAGACTTTTCCATCTCTCCCACTCATACCACACGGTGTGTGAGGATGGTGAGTTAGAGTTTGTCATCAGGAGATGGAAGGCCTAGGCAGGTGTAGCCGCGATAGCCCTCCCATGAAGGCCCTAAGGAGCAACAAAATCCGGTCTTTTATTGCACTGCCGCATAGTAAATCGAGGAGGTCTTCTACACTCACAACTTATCACATTAATAAAAGCAAATATGAAAAGAAGTTTAGGTAAAAAACAACAATCCAATGACATTAACGATTCAGCTTCAGGAGGGGTCAAAATCAAATACTTACATTTTTCGCCTTATACATGCAAAGTTTTATAGGGTAATTAAGCATCACATAAATCAGGCAACAGGGAATGTAGCATTTTGTGTAGGTACAGAGAGACACTCCAAACAGTGGAGACAATGCTGAGGACTGAGCCTTTTTCCTTTTGTTAAATTAGACTAGACTAGACAATCCAAAGCCCATTCAAAAGGACGCCTTAAATTCAACAAGACGATGAAACTTCCATTCGAATTAGTTAGTATGCACAAAGAAACACATAGTTAGCCCCATTTTTGTGGGTAAACAGGTGTATTAAAGGATTGTCACTTCTTTAAGTTGTGGTTATTGTATTGTATTGTATTGAATTTTACAAATTTTAAACCAACTTCCAAAATGATGAGCAGTATTCAGAGAAATTGAGTAGTATATAACACTACATTGTAGACCTCCTTCATTAGGTTATTTCAAAGCGTGTTTTGACCTCAAGATTCCCTCAAACAAGCTGGAATCCGTTCACAATAGGCTTTGTGCTACTGATATCATTAGTAAGTAGTATCACGTTTATCATGCTTTGATTTGTATGGGGAAGATACTTTTCTCACAGAAGTATTCAGGATTTTTGGAGTTTGCAAGGTAGCAAGAAACAAATCACAATTTTTTCCATTTTCTTGAAATTAATAAGTAAGTAGGTGGACTCATTCGAGTACAGGAAAGCTGCGCCTCCTCACCGTTCAGCCACAAAGGCATGGATAATTCATGTCCCTCCGCAACTGCCGTTAACTACCCAACCTACGTTTTGTGCGGCAGTGCGCAAAAGCAGCCGCCAATTCACTCATGTGTGCATCAACATTGAATAAACAGGTAAAAAAAAAGAAAATACCTCCAAAGTCCAAAGTTGACAGCGCTAAGCAATCACATCATGTACCGGAGATGGGGTGGAAGTGCTTTGGAGGGCATTTTGCGAACCCATTCTCCTTCCTCCTCACTCTACATGGAGACATGAAAGCTAACATCTGTTATTACGCCTTTCACATGACGTCTTTCTGCAAACTCTCCTCTTTATAAAGTGAGGGGTATTGGAGCCAATATTTTTTGCTTTCCTAGTAAAGCTAAATAAGTAGACTTTTAAGTGCATTTCGCACCTTTTTATATAACAGTGAGAGGATTTTTATTAGATTAATAACGTCTCAATTCATCCGCCTACGTTAAGCAAAGCAATCCTTATACATCTCCATGGGGCGAAAGCTGGGCATGACTGGAGGAGAGAATCTAAAAAAACACATCTTGTAAATAATTAATTCAATCGTTTGCTCTCTTTTTTGACCATTAGTGCCACCCTCCGGTCTGCAATGGGGTAATTGTGAAGCAAGGTGACAACTTGACAGCTGCTAGCAGGCAGTTGTGAAGGTGACAGGAGGGAGTGACACTTCGTTTACCTTTCCCTACAGTCAATAGGCCTTCACACTGCCTGAAGGGCACAAAGTAGGGGAAATTGAATTCTCAACAATGCCTCGAGAAGGGTGTTGTCATAACCACACTCACATTTGAATGTGAATGACAGACCTCGTGAAGTGGGCACTGCAAAGCTGCCTGATTGAAGTGGGTGAGGAGTGTGCACTGTCTGCATTCCTAGCAGACAGTACGAACTTTTAAGAATTAACCTCTCTATACAGACGAAGAGGAGAGCCAATGAAGGGAAATTACGTTTTAAATAAACTACACAAGTTAGTGATAAAAATTGCTTAAATCTGTTCATGTCTGTTAAATGGGTAATGTTGGATGTGGCATTTACGAGGATTATTAAACCATGCTTAACAGGCATACTTGTGGCAAGGCAGTATCCAAAACCAGTGTTTCTTGCTTACTTTAGTTGTCACAAGCAATAATTTACACATGAAGTAGCAAATGGCAGGCCGTCAAAATCACCACGTCCTTGGAAAGGTCATGCGGCATCACCGATCCCCCATTGGATCTGGTTTTTACATTTTAATGAGTAGAGCAGAATTCTCATTTAAATGAGGAAGCGGTTTACGATCATTGCATGACAGAAAAAAGGGACAGTGACTTGTGATAGAAGATTTTTCGGTTTTACAAAGTCCAGCATCCTCTGTTGTGTCTTTGTAGAACCCATTCCGGTAGGGAAGATGACTAATAATTAATGCATGGACGAGCCGAAAGGTGATTAGAGTGGCTAATAGCTCCTCGTCGTCGAACTCGAAACCAACCTCAAACGATAAGAAGGCTTCTTTATCAAAATTAGAAGTAAAGACGATTTATGCACATGCGTACACTGTCCGAGATTCGATGTTGGCGGCCGTGATAATTGAAGATTGTTATCTTGCCGCCGAAGTTCTTCTTTTTTATTTTGCAAATTCGAAAACAGCTTACCTACGGCAGAGTCAAAGTCAAAATCGAAATCAAAAATCAGTTTAAAAAAACCTGCGTTAATTTTGTGACATCCATCATGCTGTCATCTAATTCACTGTATAAATTGACTACCCACCTACCGTCTTTGAATCACATCAGCGTCTCCGAATTGGCAAGAGGGTAGTGCCGCTCTCTTGCTCCGCCTGGTATCGATTTTTTCCCCGAAGCAGATTCATATCGACAGTCTTAGCAGTGCCCGGAGTGATGGAGGGATCGGACGAGAGTGAAGACAGACGGCTTAGGGTAGCCGCTTTATTAACTTCAATAATAGCGCTGCAGCAACCGCTGATGTTTATGCCTTCACCAAGTAGCAGTCCTTGTCATTTCAGAGTCTTTACCAGCGTCTACTTCAGCATGGTTTTGCACGAATTGATCAGTTGGGCGGACTGACTCGACAGCGGCTCATTGATATGGGGGTCACGAGTGCGGAGGCAAGAGCCAGCCTACTAACGGCGGCTCAGCTGCTCACAAACTCACGAATCGGTGCGTTACTCCTATTAGTTCTATCTTGGCTTTATTGAGTAAGTTTTTCTTTCTTGAATATATATTTTAATTTAAAAAACTATCGATTCTAACTAAAGTACCCAATTTGCTCCCTGTAAATTCCAACTTACGAGAACTTTGATTGCTATGAATTAGCGATTAAATGCCATTGAACAAGTGAACGCATAAATGGTCCGTCTCAATATTTGTGATGACGAACCCCCCATCACAATTGTGCAATTTA